TCCCTGCGCAGCCCCCGGGCCGCTCTCCACATCCACCCCCTCACTCCCATTCCCCACCGCTTCCCGGCGCCCTCAGAAGCGACGCGTCGCCGACCTCCTCGCCAGCTACATCCCCACGGAGGAGGCCCTGCTGCTGCGCAGCGGGAGGTGAGCGGCACCCCCGGGAACGCGGGGGCCCCGGGCTGTGCCCCACGGCGCCCGGTGTCCCCCACACAGGTGGGAGGTGAGCGGGACCCCCGGTGTCCCCCGGGCCGTGCCCCACGGCGCCCGGTGTCCCCCACACAGGTACGCGTGCACCGTGTGTCCCCAGCGGCCTGTCTTCGACACGCTCGCCATGCTCACGGTGCACAGGGCCGGCAGGAAGCACGCGGCGGGTAAGCGGGGGGCCTGGGGAGGGCGGCGAGCGGYGCACGAGCCCCCCGCGACACCCCCYGTTTCCCTCCTTTCCAGCCCTGAGGAGCTTCTACGGCGGGAAGCGGCCGCTCGGGAACGTGGCGCCGGAGCAGCTGCCCGCGGAGCTGGTCCCGCAGGTGGGTGCGGAGGGGCCCCGTCCACGGTGGGAGTCGCATGGAGGCGCCCGGCGCGCGGTGCCGTCCCCGCGGGCGGCCCTGTCACCGTCCCGAGGTGCCCGGCGCGGTGCCGTCCCCGCGGGCGGCCCTGTCACCGTCTCGAGGTGCCCGGCGCGCGGGGCCGTCCCCGCGGGCGGCCCTGTCACGGTTCCAAGGTGCCCGGCGCGTGGTGCCGTCCCCGCGGGCGGCCCTGTCACCGTTCTGAGGTGCCCGGTGCGCGGTGCCGTCCCCACGGGCAGCCCTGTCACCGTCCCGAGGTGCCCGGCGCGGTGCCGTCCCCGCGGGCGGCCCTGTCACCGTCCCGAGGTGCCCGCTGCTATCCCGGCAGGACTCAGCGGCCCCCTTGCTGGCGCGGACACGGAGCATTGCGCGGAGCGCCCTGCTCAAGGCCGCTCCCTACAGCAGCCGCTGCCGCAGGACGGGGTGAGTGCCCCGCGGCGGGGACAACGGGCCGGCCCCACGCGTCCCGGTCGGCGCCRCCGTTGGGCCCCGCGTGCCCCCGTTGGCACCGTGGAGCTGAGCGCGAGCCCTGTCCTAGGGCGGCCGGCGGCGGCTCGGGAGCGGCCGCGGTGCCGC